GGGTAATACTCCCTTGAATACAGCATGAATTGGAGGGAAATGTCCCGGGAATCTGATTCTCTCCCTGAATCCCTGTGAGAGTTTCTGCTCAGTCTTTATTGGCAAGATTTGATCTCTGGAATTCTTTTTTTCCTCCTTCTCCTTCTCCTCCCCCTTTTCCTTCCTCTTTTCCTTCTCCTTTTCCTGCCCCTTCTCCTTAACTTTATCCCCTCCTCTCTCAGGGAATCTGGAGCAGAGCTGGACAAGCCGCTTCCAAACCTCCCCACATCCAGTCGGAGGGATTTGGTGGCTCAGTTTGACTCTTCCCATCCTTTGGCATCTATTTTTGGGGATAACGGCAGAGGGCCAAGGGGCCTAAAATAACACCAGGGAACACATGGGAAAAGTAGCCAAGGGATAGAACCTGGGATTGGGATAGGAAATCCGGGCTGGAAAAGGGCAAATCCAGGTCTCACCTTTTCCTTTCTCTCTTTTCCTTCTGGCAGAGGAGCTGAGGGAGCAGGAAGCTGGTGAGTGCTTTGTTGCCAGCCCCCAGGGGCTTGGATAGATCCATTGTGGATTCTCTAATGGATTAACACTTATAACCCATCCTCTCGTTCCTCTGCAGATGGATCTTCCGAGGAGCTCGGTAAAGCTCCAGCTTCCTTCCAACTGGGAAAACTGGGATGGGTCGAGGGCTGTTCCTATGTTGGAGCATGGGAACGACGGCACATGAGGGATGGGGCTGGAAGGGCAGAGGCTACGAGGAATTCTCATTCCTTCCCCTTCCATTCCTCTTCCCCTTCTCCTTTTCTTCCTCTCTCTTCCTCTTCCCCTTCCCTTCTCCTTCTCTTCCTTTTCCCCTTCCCCTTCTCTTTCCCCTTCCCAGAGGACAGTGACCTGGAAAGAGGTGAGCACCATTCCCCTTCCTGCCTTGGCACGAGTGCTTCCCTCCTGGATTCCCTGCTCTGATGCACCTTCCCTGGTTCTCTCCTCTCAGCTGAGCTCGCTGCGGAGCTGGGTAAGTCCCTGCCATGGGCTCTTCCCAGTATCCCAGTTGGAATTGTGCTGGGTTGGAAGCTCTGAGGCTGTTCCCACAGGGAATCAGTGACGGGAATGTCAGAACTTCATCCTCGGAAGCAGCTTTTTGCTTTTCCCCACCATTTAACTGTGGATGTGGAGGAAATTCGGGTCTTCCCATTGGGAAGGAGATGGGATAGTAGAGAAGGAGAAAATCCCAATGGAAACCTGTGGTTTTCTCTCCCTTATTATCCTAATCCTGGTTTTCTTCCTTGTTTTTAGAGGAATGGCATAAACAGATAGGTGGGTTTTGTTCTCTTTTTGGGTGCATTTGGGTGCTTGGGATGGGCAGATTCCAGCTGCATTATCCCAATCCCGGGAAGAGCTTTTCCCCCTCACCTAAATACCAAATTCCCACGTGGTTACTGGAATACTGGGATTGTTCCCGAGGTGTCGCTTGAGCCAAGAAATCCTGATTGTGTCCTTTATTCCCTTCCTTTAAGGGCAAATCACGGAAGAGCTTGGTGAGTCCTTCCCAGCCTTTCCTCCTTCCCTGTCTCCTCCTTTCCCTGCCTTTCCCCTTTCCCTGCCCTTCTCCCAGTTGCAACGTGGATGCTGCAAAGCCACAGATCCTGAAGCTTTGTCTCTTTTCCCTGTTTTCCCCATTCCCAGCGGAGCGGAGCGCGCGCATCGGTGAGTGCTGCTCTTCCATAGGGAAGCACGTGGGAATGTTGCATGGAAACAGAGCTCTTCCCTTCTAATATGGGATAAAAGGAGCCTTAAAGGCTCCGTGTCCATGCCTGCTCCATGTTTGCTTCTCCCCGGGCATCCCAAACCCCTTTGGAATGATGGTTTGGATACATGGGGGTCGGTGCGATGATGCTCAATCCATTGGGATACAACCCAAACCCCATAAACTTATTGTTGATGGGTCTATAGGGGAGAAATAACCATCATTAAACCTACTTTTCCTTTTGCTTTTCCCAGAGGAACTCACGGCGGAGCTGGGTGAGTCCCTTCACTATCCCAACCTGGGTGGATCCTTTGGGATTTAGGCTGGGGCTGGGGGGAGCCAGTTGGGTCTTTGCTTGGAGATGAGGGAAGCCCATGTGGGAATGACACCCAGGGCGAAACGGGAACGTCAGTTCTCTCCATGGAGCAGCCAAACATCAGAACAAAACACCCAAAAACTTGGGAATAACTCCCTTTTTTTTCCCTTTTCCCTCTCTTTTCCCTCTTTTAGGACAACGGGATGCCCGGATCGGTATGTGTCCCCCTCCTCCTGCACCTACACTCGTGCTTCCATTCCCAGGGTGATGGTGATGGATCAGTTTGGGCTTGTTCTCTCCCAGGTGACTTGTCCGCAGGGATTGGTGAGTGTTTTCTGGCTTCCAACCACACACTTTGGGATCTGGATTTGGGAGAAGTTCAGCTGGGATTGATTTTGGCTTCTCTTTCCATAGAGACCCGCGAGAGGAGAATCGGTGAGTGGCAAAGTGCGGCTCAAGACCTTTGTGTGCGTGATCCCTGTGCTGGGAATTCTCATGGGAATCCTTCCTTTCCTCTTGTCTTTCCAGAGGAACTCACAGCGGAGCTCGGTGAGTGCCTTGGGTGGGAGAGAGGATCATGGAATGGTTGGGAAAGGGCCTTAAAGCTCCTCCAGCTCCACCCCAATGCCATGGGGACACCTTCCATAGAGCAGGTTGCTCCAAGCTGGCCATGAAGGGATGGAGCATCCAAACCTTCTCCATCCAACCCATCCCGGTGTCCCTCCACCCTCTTCTTCCCAATATCCACATACCTCTTCCAGTTGGGAGCCATTGCTCCTCATCCCATCCCTATGTGCCACTGTAGAAGCCCCTTCCCAGGTTTCCAGGCAGCCCTTTAGGCCCTGGAAGCTGCTCCAGGCTCTCCCTGGAGCCTTCCCTTCTCCATATCTTATCTCATTATCCAACCAGTGCTAATCCCTGGGCCCACAAATCTGGGATCACTTTGGGAATGCTCGGGAATGGCCGAGCAACGTGCACTGACCATTCTCTTTGCTTCTCTTCCCAGAGGAATACAAAGCCAAAGCACGTGAGTGACCTTGGGAGCAGCCAGCGAGGATCCGGGGGGCGGAATGGTGGGAATGTGGCATTTGCAGGTGTTTCGCCCCTGTGGGCACCACGGGATGGGCCGGGAAAGGGGGAAGCACCGCTCCGGAGCGTCCTGATGGTAACAGGGCTCTGCCTTGTCCTCCTGTGCAGGAAGGTGCCTCCAGGAGCACAGTGAGTGCATCTCCCGGCCCTGCAGCCCCCTGGGCCCCCCTCGCCCCCGGCAGCAGCGTGAGTCCTTTGTGTGTGTCCTTAGGGAAGGAAGAGGAGGCGATGGGTGAGTGTTGGCTCGGAGCAGGAGTGAGGGGCTTCAGGAAGGGGCTGCGCTGGGCCCCGAGTGGCACCGAAACACCCACTGGATGTCCAGAAGGCACCAAAACACCCATTAGATGCCCAACGAGACCCCAAAACCCCTGCAGATGCCCAACAAGACCCCAAATCACCCATTAGATGCCCAAGATGACACAAAAACCCCCATTAGAATCCCCAGGAGGACACCAAAACCCCCATTAGATGCCCAAGAAGACCCCAAAACCCCTGTTAGATGCCCAAAATGACACAAAAACTCTCATTAGATGCCCAAGAAGACCCCAAAACCCCCATTAGATGCCCAAGAAGACCCACAAACCCCCGTTAG